GGTATTTTGTCTCAGCAACGAGAAAAAAGTAACCAAGACACTCAGCAACCATTTTGTATTCCAAGTGCTGACAGTGGCATCCCCATTTCCTTCAGAGATTTTCCCTTAAATATGAGCTTTTGGAAAGGCAGTGGAACTCCCGTGGCCTCTTCAACAGCCTGGGCCAGGTCTTGGACAACTGGTTCAGTTCTGCCCTGCTGAGCAGGAACACGAAGGTCGTGCTTTTCACTGCTGTGGGTACCGGTCACGCTGAGCCCAGTGGCCGCCACGTCCTGGGTCGGGGCCGCCACCTCTGCGCTGGGCACCTCTGCCTGCAGTCCGCACAGAGGGGTGCTGAGAGCAACGAGGGCCGCGGCTGGCATCCGAGCGGCAAGGCTCCCGGGGGGCGGAGGGGTGCGCCACCGTGCTCAGCCGGCCCACACCGGTGACTGCCTCCGTCGGTTGTCCACCTGTCACCTGGCCAAGCTCCTGCCGGGCCCAGTGGATGGGTTTTTAACACTTACTCATCCAAGAAATCCATATCGAGGGCTATTAAAAGAGAAAATGATAACAAGTCTACTCCTGCAGGTCTTAATTGGCTTTATCTGCAGTTTTAAAATGGGCAGCAACTTGGCCCAAAGATGAACCAGAAAGCCCAGCCACCCACAGGAGCAGCAGAGGACAGGAAGGATGGAGAGACTGTCTGGTCACTGCGGGCACTGGTCTGTCTAGATGCAGTTATGACTGATGCACTTTGGCAGCTGAGTAGCTGCTACTCAGCTGCTAGGGACCCAAGCAGTGAATGTGCACACTTAGCTCAGACACAGTTCCCATAAGGAGAGCACACATGAGCCACTGGACAGTCCTGGTACCCAACTGCCTGGGCTCAGCATGTGAGACCCAGCGTGCAGCTCCCAGGTGGGCTGGGACTTTGAACCGAACGACATGGCTGGTCCAGGAGCAAAGCTCTGCACTTAGCCCTATTCCTGCACACTTGCCTAGTCCTCCCTTGGTTGGAGGTGGTTCATTCCTGAGAGAGGCATCTCCCTTACAAAGACATCTGCTCCCCTTGTTATAGAGCTGGCAATGTTTCCCGGATTTGTTTTTCTTCTTTTTCAGTTCCTTCTCCAAAAATGTTTTCACTTAGGCTTTTTGGAGGGACAAATTCTGAGGCCTTCTGGAAATATCTCCATGCTCTGGAAAACAAAACTTTATAGATCCATCAATAATTTAAATAAAAAATTATATGCTTCTCTCCATCCCCAGGCAGTGACTTCTCATTTGGCTTGACCTTGGCCAGCAGCTCCATGAATCCTTAATCCTCCTGGGAGTCTCAGGAGCCCTGTGCTGTCCCGTGACAAGGCCACCAAGTTCTCAGTGCTCGCTCAACACCTTCCCACAAGCCTCCTTGAAGACACAGTCTTCAGGGCTGTATTTGCTTGCAAAAGCTTTCAGGAAAGCATCAGAGGATGCACTTCTGTGGGTGACGAGACTTAAAGATGGTCATAGCTACAGATCTGTTGAGAGTGGCACACCGTGGCCAGGGAATTAGGCCGTTCCTGCAGCACATGACATTTTCCCATTATAACTACAGTCATACAGAGAACATCATACAGGACAGAGCCAGGTTCCAGGAACGCCACACAGTCTCCAGAGCTGGCTATGGGCTACAGAGTGGAGACCATTCACCTCTGTGCCCCCTAGAGCCACAGTAACAAGGCTTGCTCCACAGGTTGGAATGAGGAGAGACAGGGAACTGGTAGCAGTCGGTGTTTACAGGGATTCCTGGACCAGCCTGAGCTGGCCTCACCCTCCCTCTCTGCCCTGGGTTGAGATGCAATCACCTGCTCTACTCCACTGGCAGATGCCATGGCCCCTTGAACCATGAGGTAACAGCCAGCGTGCTACCACCAAAGCAGTGCTCCAAAATTGTGACTGTAATAAACCTTTTCTCTTTTTTAAAGCTAGATGCTTCTGGTATTTCACCGTAGCAATTCAAAGCTCACTAACACAACACGTATTAACAACACATATCCATATACATACAATAAAAAGATAAGTATCACCTTTGCTTGACAATATTTCACATGCAACTTCACATATCAAGTAAACCTAATTAACTGAACATCTCTTTTTTTTTTTTTTTTTTTTTTTTTTTTGGTTTTTCTCCGGCACCGGGAACCGAACTCACGACCTTGCGCTTGCCAGGCAGGCGCTTTGCCGCTGAGCTAAATCCCCAGCCCCTGAACATCTCTTTTTGTAGGAAAAGAGAAAAACATTTCTTTTGAGATCTTCCAGCAGCTTCTCTGGAAAACCCCAAAGGTAGTTCAAGGTTAAGAAAACTTAAAATGTGGCTTTAGGAAGTTTATTTTAAAAAATCAACTAGTTTAAACACATCATTAAGTAGGATCTGAGATCACTTTGAAACAGTACTTATTATTGAAACTAGAGTCTTAATTAAAAGGCCTCAAGCATAAAGCTGTATTACTGTAAAAAAAAATCTTAGCTCATTTAATAAAGATGACTCCATTTTCTCATATAATCAAAGTCCTGATGAATACAGCACAATGCACAGGAAATTAAATATCAAATCTTTGTTTCCTTATTTATTTGGTGCGGCTGCAATGCAGCCTTTATGCAGGCTGGCAGGCACTTGACCACGGACCCCGCCCCCTTTGTTCCTTGTATCTGTACAGGTGCCAGGTGCTGCATGGGAACCTGGCACAGTGACTCGATCAGGACAACCAGCACCTCCATCACCTCAGAAAATACAGTAGTTCCCATATTTTGCAGTGAGATTTTAGTTTGTTTTTTTATTTAAAGACAGATTCTCACTGTTGCCCAGGCTGACCTTGATTGTCTTGCCTCAGCCTCCCCAGTATCCAGGACCATGGGTGTGCATCACTGCAACAGGACTTCTTCCAGCTATCTTAAAATGGCTCTTGTGTTTTGGCTTTCGTTTTCTGTTGGCTGGTTGGTTTTTGCATTACTGGGGATCAAACCCAGGGGCGCTCCACCAGAAGCTAGGTTCTCAGCCCTTCTTATTTTTTTATTTTCAGACAGTTTGAGTCCCACACAGGACTCAAACTCTTGACCATCCCACCTCAGCCTCCCTCAGTGCCAGAATTACAGGTGTGTGACACTTGATGGTGTCTAAGACCGTCTGCCTCCCTTTCCAGCCCTGACGAGTCTCCACGGTTCTCTTCCACAGATGGTGCCGAAGGTTTGCACTCACAAACATCTCTACAAATAACTCTCCTCAGAAGCACTTTTGGATGGTTTGGATGGTTCACCAGGCACTGGTGAGCTGGACAGTTAAATGTGTTTGCAGCTTTGTTGGAGGGAACTTGCTAGTGTACATAGCTGCACCCTTGTGGCCTGTGGGCTATAGCTCCCCAGAAGCCCTACTCACAGATGGGTGGTGAGGTAGGCTCCAGGGGCCACTTTAGCTCAGCTAGCTCTTTATTAGACTTCTGAAAGCTCCTCAGTCCTTTTGGCTATTGCTTCCATTATCTGTCTAGTTATATTCCCTGTGATCCCACTGGGCACCTCTTTGATCTGTTTTCTAACCTCCTGTGTTATCCTCTTGAGTAATGTTGGTGTGTGGCTTAGGCTTTTTCCCACTGAAGCGCCCTGGATTGGCTTTGGGGGAGTTTTGAGAGGTATTTTCTTGTCTTTTCATGTTTCTATTGGTGTTTTGTTTTGTCTTATTTTGTGCTGTTTGTGGCTGCTTATAGTATATTGTTGCTAGTATAGAGTTCTCTTTGGTTATCACCTTTCAGTGATGTACTTTAGGCTTGACTAACCGAAGTCCTCAGCCCCAAGATCTGACCACCTCAGCTAATTTGGGAGGAGAGGATGCAGTTTAATTGGTCTGACATTGAGTTCTCTAGGAATGTACTCTAATATTGTTAATGTCACAAAGGTAATCTGAGTGTTGGCTTATAAACAACACTTATTAATAGCAACAATTATGCAACCCTGGTAATATCAAACAAATCCGGTACAGTGGTATCGTCCATGACAAATTGGGTATTAAAATAACTCAAGAACCTGTTATGCACCACCATTAACCCTAGAGAAGAAATTCACAATTACGTTGCAAACATTAAGAAAAGCCAGGTATTGACTTACAGCTAATATGTACTAAGTGCTACAGCTATATCTCTACTAGTGGTAGAAAAGAAAAGAATTCAACAGTGATTTTTATATAGTTAACTATCTAAAGATTAATAAAGCTCTATGGTTACATATTTAAAGGTATAAGAGTTTGGGAACAGGGGAATGCAAGAAGAAAAGTGTGAAACCCTAAACTATATGTTGTGAGGAAAGAGAAGTAGGGCACAGGACCCTATTGGGGGTCGACTGGTGTTTCAGAGTTAGGTAAAGGTAACAGAAAAACTGGTGGAAGATAAAAGAAAAAGGAAAAAAATTATATTAAGAGTTAAACAGGAGAGAAAATTGAAGGTAGAAAAATTACGAGGGAGAAGAGGAAAAAATAATGAAAAAAGAGAAGAAAAAGAGACAAGCAAGGAAAAGAACAATGGAAAATTCCCCAAATACCAATACACTGGCAAAGTAGAAAGAGGAAAGAAAAGAAAACAAACAAACAAAACAACACACTCAAAAAAGAAAAGAGGGGCTAGGGATATGGCTCAGTGGCAGAGCACCTGCCTTGCAAGCACAAGGTGCTGAGTTCAATCCCCAGTACCAAAAAAAAAACCCAAAAAACAAAAACAAAAAACAACAAAGAAAAGAAAAGAAATTTCTCTGTGATTCTGACTGTGCAGTTTTCTTCCAAGATCTACAGTTTCAAGACGTGTCCTCATGCTGGTAGACAAAGAAAGCAGTCAGACCCCAGATCCACTGCAATCAGGCACCAGCAGGCAACAGTATTAGGGTGAGGGTGCCAGTGCCACCACTTTCCAACCCAGAGCAACTCCTAGGGCTGGCCTCTGGCCATGGAGACGGGGCCTGTGTCCTTTGGCTCAAACCTTTTGAGGTTCTCTTTCCAGCCTGACCAAGGTTCCCTGACCACATCTGTCTCCTGCGGCTGTCTCTCACCCCTCACTGTGGAAACTAACACTGGGACCCTGGAAGGGAAGCCATCTGTGAATGCTCTGAATTCCAGGCTCAAACAAAAAACCCTGTCCCAGAAGGCATCTGACCAAGCACTCTCTCCAGGGATGCGGCAGGTGCCTGGGCTGGAGTCGCTCACCAGCTGCTGCCTGTCAAAGAGCTCAGTGGGAACAGAACCCATGCTTCCCAGTGTACTCTCCCTGCAGCTCTCAGCACCCGCTGGTCTGTTCCCCTGCCGTGTCCCTCCTCAAAGCCCTCTGGAGCCCCCAGCATTCACTGTGTCTCTGTAGGTTCAGTCTCCCTTTCCCACAAGCCTGGAGCTGGGCAGAAGTGCAGACTGTCCCCTTCCTTCTCAGTGTCGTGTTCTGTCTCTGCGATTTCTCTGTAGGTTTTCACTTTTCTGTCAGGTCCTTCCTGGTGCATGGGGATCTATTTCTCTATTTTTCTTTCCCCAAGCTGTTATTTTCCAGTGTCTGGAATCTGAATCTTGGGAGGCTGAATTGTTGTCACTCACTGCTCTGCCATTTTCCCAGCAGTCACTTTCATTTGCATTTGTGTAATGATGAGCAATTTAAACATCTTTCACATATCTGAAGGAAGCTTTCGTTTTTTTTGTTCATTTTGAGGTTTTTTTGTTTTGTTTTGTTTTTTGAGACAGGGTCTCATTGTGTAGTTCAGGTTGACCTTGAACTCACTATGCAGTAGAGGTTGTCCTCAAACTCCCGGCAATCCTCCTGCCTCAGCCTCCCAAATGTTGGGATTACACGTATGCACCACCATGCCCAGTGCAACTTTCACTTTTTAAAATGTAAGTCGTTGACTACAAAAAAAGAATGCAAACTTCCCAACAGATAAAAAAAATTAACATTTGATCAGACACTGTGGTGTAATCCCAGCACTCAGGAGGCTGAGGCAGGAGGATCACAAGTTTGTTTGTTTGTTTGTTTGTTTTTTGAACCAGGAAGCAAACTTAGGGCCTTGTGCTTAGCAGGCAGGTGCTACACTGCTGAGCTGTATCTGTGGCCCAGATCACCACAAGTTTGAGAGGCGTGGGCTACCAAGTGAGTTCAAGGCCAGCCTGGACTATAGCAAAGCACTATCTCAAAAAGTTTTAAAAAAGAAAGAAGAAAAAGAGAGAGAAAGAAAGAAAGAAAAAAAGGAAGAAAGAAGCTGGGCAATTTAGTAAGATCCTGTTTCAAAGTAAAAAGAGCTAGAGGTGTAGCTCAGTCATAGAGCAACCCTGAATTTGATCCCTAATACCACACACAAAGAAGTAATTAACATTTGAAGAGACAGAAACCCTTATTTCCTTTCATTCCAGCCTTACACATCCTCGTAGTACAACCCATAAAGATCCAGAGATGCAATATCTCAATCTTAAAAGGCGAGCAAATGTAAAATATTCATATTTTCCCCACGTTCTTTACTCAGCATTTGGACTCTGGTGCCGTGATGTTTAAGATCTCCTTGACAATCCATGACAAGGAGCATCAGAGTGGTGAGGCAGGGTAGGCGTAGTGGGAGAGTGCACTCTTGGAAGTATGACAAGTATGTTCAGTCCCTAGCAACAGCAAAAGAAAAAAAGCCAAAGTTCTGAGAAGGCGTTTTAGAAATACACTTGACTTTGCTCTTTATGACTAAAACATTATTTTAGCTTAGCTGTAACAAGACGACATTAAAACCCACAAACTGTGCACAAAGAGAAGGCAAAAGTCCTCCACGTAGGGAAAGTGGCTGACCACATTTCCATTCCCAGGCTCTGTAGTTAGAGGTGCCTGGAAGAAAGGGAAGTCGTCCTGTCTATGTTTCTATCACTGTTGGCCTAAGTAGTATCTGGCTTCTACTCAGCAGCCGAAACTGATTCATTAACTGGGTTAATGAATCACAGGATGTTTTTAAAGCAGATACACTGTTTGCATAGTTACCTTATTTCTTTCCGGGCATGTTCTTTTTGGGTGTGTTCAGTGCTCCACCAGGCCCCTCTGCCATGATAGATCTGCCTTGGAGACAAATGACCATGGACTGAACCCTCAAACAACAAAAATAAACCCTTCCCCCTTTACTTGCAGAGCATATGCTGGGTTCCACAAACATATCCCTTACTTTTTACTGTAAATTTTTACTTTAGTGTAATAGTAGTCAGCTGTGTGTCTCAGTACCCTTGCCTGAGGAATACAGGAAGCAATCTTTGTGTTTACTCACTTGATACAATGAAAGGCAAGATGTGTGCACATGTGCAAAAGTGCCAAACCAGGATTCACACCCACATGATGCTCTGTCTAGCAGGTTTGGGGTATGTTTGTCTGAGTAACAGAGAATGTAATGAGCCCAAACCATTCTAGGATTTGTTTTTTAAAGGGTTTTCTTTTGATTTTTCTGGTAGAAGAAGTCAATTCAGTATAATGGCACATGAAAAACCAGATTTGCAAATTCTGGAGGAGGTCAAAAGTGAGTCATCATGCATGGATAATGAAGATGACCCTTATGGTAAAACATGCTTTCATCACAGAAGAGTGGTGTGGGTGGATGATGATGATGATGGCTTTGACTTGGCCATGTGAGCCAAAGTTCCTGTGACAGTGAAATGGAGCAAGAATCCACTGATACAGACACAGGAAGTGTAGACCTCCTTGATTCAAATGATGAAGAAAACAGCAATGTGCATACATATTTAACTAGTTGAAATATTGCAAAATGGCCACAAAACCAAGTGGGATGATCCAATATTAGAACTAGATCCCAAAATATAGTGAGGGTCTTGGCAGGGGTGAAACATATTGGACAGAATGCCAGCACTACCATTTAATGTTGGACATTCTAACAGATGAAATCCTACAAGATGCTGTGAAATACACAAAGGTTGAAATGCAAGTAAAATTTTCTGTGTGCACCGATAGCCATATTCAAAACTATATTTATTATGACACCTCAGTAGCTGAACTGAAGGCATTGGTACATCTGCTGTACTTAGCAGGGATTTCTCATGGTGATTGCAGGAATGTAAATGACTTGTGCAAAAGCAATGGGTCAAATGTGGCATAAAAATTTATGAACTTGTAATTGTGAAAACTTATGCTTTCAATTAAGACATTTATCCTGGCACTCAGCCACCAGGTCCTAATTTATATAGTAATAAACTGAATGATGTTGTGAACAGACTTGTTCCTCCTACCTCCCAAACTAATCAGAACGTGAGTCAACAAATGGTTGACTGATTTCCAATTGATATTACATTCACTAGCAGAGTGCCAGTTGACAAGTACAGGAACTATATGCAGGAACAAAGCAGAAATTCCAAATGAATTGTTGCAATTTCAAAACAGAGAATTGTATAATACAACCTTTGGATTTCTGAAAGATTTACATTGGCTTCCTACTTGGCAAAAACAAGGTCGTGAGTTCAGTTCCCGGTACCGGAGAAAAACCAAAAAAAAAAAAAAAAAAAAAAAAAACTGGCATTACTGATGTCAACAAGCCACCATGATAGAAATACTGATAGAGAAAACTTGACAAAACAGAAGCCTGAGATGGAAACTTTCTACAAGACTAAAGGCAGAGTAGATGTTGTTGATGAGTTATGCAGCAACTATGATGTCACTCGAAACACAAACCATTGGCCAATGGTTTTGTTTTACTTGACCTAAACATGTGTCGCATAGATAGTTTAATAGTTTACAAAGAAAATAACAAGTGCAAAATACCACAGAGAAATTTTCTTAGAGGATTGGGACTGGAACTTAGAAGAGATCATTTACAGTAGCAGTAAAACAAAATGTTCCTGGCTAAGGAACTACACAAAAACAACTTGTGGACTGCATTGGTGAGCTGACAGGTGAACAGGCACACTGTCCCAAAGACCTACTACAACAAAAAGAAAACCAAAAAGATGTCAACTGTGCCCTACAAGAAAGGACAGGAAAACAAAACATGTGCTATCAATGTCAGTGATACTTGTGTACGGAACATGCAATTTTTATGTGTGAAGACTGCATTGGGTATAACAATTGAAGTAAAGATTATTTTTATTGTATAACTGTCTTAATTGGCTGGCTCCAAGGCAGGGCGGCACATCCCAGAGGGACAATAGTTCATGGCAGTGGAAGATAGCAAAAGCAACAAGGTGGAGGAAAGACAAGCCTCTTTCTGTACCTTATATTGCATGCAGGGTATCCCCCCTAGGGTGAGTGTAGCCCTCACACCCTTAATCCTAGCACTGGGCCATGAATCAATCACAAACTCTAGATTCAGCTACCTTTGAAAAGCCTTCCCTTCATGACTGCATAAGGCTTTAGGGGGACATTTAGACACAAACATTACAAGTTCTATTGGTATTTTCAACACAGTTTGCATAGGTTTTTATTTCTGATATTATCTCAGGTTTTGTAAGCAAGAACACAGCTGATGTGAAAATGTTGATGTGTATTCTAAATATGAAATAGATATTAAGAATTTAATAGTTTATTGATATTTTATATTCCTGTTAACTACACACTGTATAATATAATATGAACTTCATGATAAAACAGCAAGACCAGCAAGATGTCAAGTATGTCCTACAAACAGGACAGGAAAGCAAAACACTTGTGCTCTCACAAGCTATCGGTGTGTATACAACATACTGTTGTCAGGTATGAAGTCTGCCTTAGGTATAACAATTGAAGTAAGGGTTTTTTTGTAGCATGCTATTGGTATTTTCATTGTAGTTCACATAGGTATTTATTTCTGTAGTTTAAGTCTTTTATAGACTTGGCACACCAAAAACCAGTCAATGTTAAAAATTTTGATGCTTTTTTATAAACACTCAATAAAAATTAAAAATGAAATACTTTATTTTTGTGATTTTTTCCTGTTAAGCACTCACTGTTTAATATAATAAAACCCATAAAATTAAAATTAATAATTAATCAATGGAAATATTCTAAAGAGTAAATGTGGTTTGACATACAGGCCTTTATGACAAAAGATGTGTTATGTTCTGTGGTAACTTGTTATGTCAGATATTTGGTCCCAGTGGCAGAAAGCTGACCAATATACCCTGAAAATCTCTTATCTTGGTATCCTCAGTCTTGGAGGGAGATGAGATAGCTACAGCAAATTTAAGGGTAACAAGCCTTACATTAACAGCTTTTAGACAGACACTCCCTAAATGATTAGACTGGCTCCTTCAGAGCTAAGCAGGGACCTAACCCAGCATTTTAATGTAACAAAGGAGGAAGTTATAAAAGCCAGTGACACCAGGCTTCACCCTGCTTAGTCACCCACTGGGCATCTGCAGGCCCAAATGAAGAGTCATTGTTTTTAGCAAAAGCATCTTCTAAGTCCCTGACTGCCTCAAAGAAAGCACAATCAGGCTTTCAATAAGAAACAGTCTATATGTCCTCTGCCCCTGTGTGGTGATCACAACAATTATCTTCTCCAGTTTATCCTTTGAGATGCTACAGTGAAGGCATCTAAACTTCAGGGGTGCCCCTGGTTTTAGGTCAATAAGAGTATTCCAACTGGAAGGGTTAGGGAAGAAAACATGCTATATTTTCAAGGGGTCACGGGTCCTGAGTTAGGGCTCAGGAGTGCACCTGTCCTGTGTCCTTCCCCAGGTCTCTGGCTCAAGTTTACTGAAGAAGGTATCTGGAAGGACAAAAGAACGTTAGGACAGGCACAGGCAAGGCTGAGAAGGGTCCTATTGTAGTTAGGGCTGGAGCCCCTAGCTCAGTGCTTCTTTGGTTTTATGGGGGCTTCACTGCATGGCATTACTGATCAGCACACTGATCAAGTCAATCGGCCCAGCCTGCAGCCCTCACCTCCTCCGAGGTTAGGTGGAGCTATGCCTTCCAACCTTCGGAGCAATAGGACCAGCCCCCATCCTGCAGGTATCTTGCAACTCGGGAAATCACTTCCCTGGTAGGAGCTCAGCTGTTCCTGGAAAGGGCTTGCTCATGTCAATGTGCTCAGCTGTATCAGGAACCAGAGCACAAAAAAGGCCAAACATTTTAACAGAAGATACTCTGACTGCTCTACTGGTGGACAACATACCAACTCTAACCACAACAGCACATAGGGATGTTCACACATTTGTGTATTAGCATTGAATATTTTGCCTGAATTTGTCAATTATCTTATTTTGCTTGTGGTGTTTTTGTCATGCAATTATTTAAAGCATACACTTGTGCGATCAAGTATATCCAGAAGTTCTCTTGGAGCATATGGTCTTTGAATCTTAGGTTGAAGCCTTTCCTTGTGCAGAAGTTAGCCAATTCTCCCATTTTCCTCTGATTGTTGTACTGTCACAGCTTCCACATCCAGACCTCTGCTCCATTGCAGTTTTGTTCTGCACACAGTGTAAGATGTGGATCTTGAGTTGTCTTTTCCCAATTCCATCGCACTGTCCCAGTACAATGTACCTAAAAATCCACCCTCATCCCACACATCACTCTCTGTGGCCTACATGTCCATTGCTGTCCAGCACTATTCCAGTTCTGGAACTTGTGTCCAGTGTAGACTTGGTTCACCATTAGAATGTGTGCCCAGCATAGAGATGGTTTCCCTCTTGGTTTCTCAATCCTCCTCGGCACCTGCTTCTCTAACAGTGCTGGACATATTAGGAGGATGTGGGACTCTTGGTGAAAGGATTCCATACCACATTTCTATGTTGCCTGTCCTTCTGTGGTCTCTGCCCTCTTCTGAGATCCAGGAGCTGCTCCTGAGGATCCACTGGGGATCCTGGGGATCCAGTGGTATAAAATGAATCTTTAAAAATCACAATTTTTTAAAAGATAGACTGCTTCTGCAACTTCCCCATGCTGAGCGCATAGACTGCCACACTCTCCTCTCCTCAGCTCAGGTGAACAGACAGAAAAGTGACAGCTAGCAGATCTACCTGGGAGGGATGTGCAGAAGCAACCGCACAGAAATGCCTTGGCTCCTGTCTCACCACATTTCTCCCCAGCCCCTTGCACAGCTGCACACAGGGAGATGGACAGCCAATGCAACAAGCAGCCCCTCCAAATCCTTCAAAGCTAGCTGCATAAACCTTTCCTTTCCACCAAGATTTTGTCCCATGTTCTTGGGGCATGACAGCACAGATCTTAACCTCCAGTAACGCTGTCTCCACTGCAAGACGTTTTGTTCCAGTCCTACCACTCCAGGGCCAGACAGGGTATGAGGGAGGCGCAGCTCCCAGCAGCCATCTCTGGAGTTGGACTAGAGGAGGGAGGGACCACTTTCACCATCCCGACAGACCTCAGCCTTTCTCTTCTCCACCCCTCTTCTTTCTTAGGCACCTGCAATGCTCCGCTGGGAGATCCCTAAAAAGTATGGAGGCCCATTTACCAAATCACATGATTGTAGGCCTGGCAGTAGAAAAACCATATTCATCCCAGTAACTCCATGCCCCTCCCTTTTTTAAATGAGACAGGGTCTTGCTAAATTGATAAGTTGTACAGCCTGGGCTCAAAACTTCAGTTCTCCTGCCTCAGCCTCGAAGAACGCTGGGATTACAGGCATCTGCCACCATGTCCAGCTTTGTGGCCTCTGTAAAGAGAAAGGAATGTGGGTTAAATGCGCTCTAGAGGAGCCAAAAGGGTCAAACAGGAAGTGCTGTGGGAGGCTGCAGCCTTGAGCTGGGGCAGATGCAGAGGCACTGAGGGAGGTTTTTTGACAACACACAGAAACCCACGCTTCCTGTGGGCAAAGGCTGGGCTACAGGTAGAGATCCAGGTTTTGTTTCAGTCTCACAGTCAGGAACTGGCAGTGTGCACTGCCTGGGCAGATCCCAGCACCCTTGGGCAGGAAACAGTCCAGGTCTCTGCCTGACCCCAGCCCAGGGCCAGCTGGAGAATCACGAGCACCACACGCTTGGAGCTGGAAATCAAAAGCAGCAGTGGACAGCTGTTTTTTTATGATTAAATTCTGGTTTTTTCCATGTTTGGAATATTTCCTCTTCCCAGCCTCTTTTGGACTTGTTCAGTTTTTCACTGAGGGGAAGGGTCCATTCTTGCCCTGCAATGGGTCTCTCAGATACTGGATACTGGGGAAGAGTTTAAATTCAAATCTGGACATTTAGAATGGTAACTATGGCTGAACACAATGCAGACTTCACGTAAAGACCAGATGTAAAGGAGTAAGCTGTCCAGGCTGCAGCTCATGTGGGAGGGAACTCCACAAGGCTGATGCCTGGAAGTCAGCTGGTTACCAGAAGGAGCAGGGCCTGGGGTTGGGGCAACCACTGGGGTGCCAGGGCTCTTCTGGTGGGGAAGCGAGGGGAGGGACAGTCCCCTCTGTTCCTTAGCTCCTCTGCTGGACAAAGACACCCAGTTACTGTAATTTTTGCCATAAGGCATACCTTACTGCTCTTCTCTGGCTGTGACATGTGAGGACGACCCTCCCCAGAGAGCATTTTCACAAGAAAGGGACATCTGAGGAGATGACTGAAACGTGATGCCTGCACACTAGTTAGACAAACAACAGGGAGTGTGTGCAGGAAAGGGGAAAATCCTAGCGATGCCACCAGGAAGTGCTGGGCTGTGGCAGCTGGTGGGAGAGAAGGTCACACTCAATTTCTTCCTTCCTGTCTACTGCTCTTCTCTGGCCACAGTATGTGAAGACAACCCTCCCCAGAGAAGCCATCCAACCAAATGGCCCTTCTGAAGTTACTGTTAGGTCCCTCACACTGTACCCCACCCAACTTGAAGAGAAAAACTCCGACAGACAACCAGTCTGTTCAAACAGTCACTCAGCTCGAGAGACTAAAGTATATCTGTTTATCAGGATCGTTCCCAGGCCTAGTTCTCAGGCTTACAGGAAACCTCGTAGGTCTACAGAAAGCCACGCTGTAAATCAGCAACATGCTGATGTCCCCCAGCACTTCCCTCCCCCAGAGGCGCCAGACCCACCAATCACCACTGAGAAACTTAAATTTTCCACCTTCCTCAGTGGAATTTCCCCCTCCCACACCTAAAATAATCTGTAAAGATGGGCCCCTTCCTTTGTTCGGGGCCAGTGGCTTTCTCACCCTTGGCCAGGTTGCACCCAGCCTGAAATAAAGGTATCGCTGTTTGCTTCAGTCTTGCCTGTCCTGGTGGTCTCAGCTGCTACTCAGTGTCTAGCCTGACAGTTACAACCCCTGAGACATCCGGCTTGAACAATCACCATGCCAGCTCTGCATATTCTGAGATGTCCCATTCCTGACCCCTTCAAAAGTGAGATCCCTTGCTCTGAGGTCCGAGGCCCCACCCAACCAGTAAGCCAGCCTCCCCACACCCCTTGGAGGCTCCTGGTCAGAAGCAGAAAGCAGGAGTCAAAGGGTGTGGCTCCTGCAAGGTCTGGCCAGGCCAGGACACCTGTCATGCAGGGCCTGTGTGTAGAGCAGGATGTCCCCACTGTGACCAACACCCTGATGTACAGAACAGTAGCTTTCAGGCTGCACTTAGCCCTGAATGACTCCATTTTATAACACATCAGTTTGCTCCATCTTGAGTGCAGCGCTACACCATGACTTGGTAATGTGTCTGCGACAAAAGATGCCCACGGGATGCTGGACACACCAAACTTATGGAAGAAACAGCTCCCGGATGCACAGCACAGTTACAAGGCACACACTAATGAATAACTTAATCGTGCTGAGAGATCACCAGCAAACTTAACAAATCAAATCGGGCCATGTGGACACGCGACAGACCACACTGGGTGTGGTGACACCCGCCAACGTGTCATCTCAGCACAGCACTTGGTGAATAAGTCACAAGGGCAACAGCAACAAACTCGGGCTCACTGCCCCTGCTCCACCACATCTCCTGCCTCCACCCCAGCCCGCCAGCCGCCCGCACTTCGGCTTCAGATGCACACCAGCTGTCAACAAGCCCTGCCCCTGGAAGACACTCTACCTCTGTAATCTATTTTTTTTTTTTCCTGGTTCTGGGGAGTGAACCCGGAGCTTTCACACTGAGCAACATCCCAGGCCCTTTATTTTCTATTTTGAGACAGGCTCTTGCTAAATCACTTAAATCGTCCAGGGTGGACTCAAACTGGGGTGCTGGGACCTTCTATCTGACCATCTGGGGCGCCTTCTCACAGCTCCCTGCGAGCCTTTCTGTAACCTCTGCACCCGCGTCCCTGCGCGGTGCGTGATGTGTGACTTCAGCGTTAGCCATAACAGCAGCTAAGTGTGGAATAAAAAGTCCTAGCCTCCCCGCTCCCTCGGGAGATAAGCCTGAGGAAATTCGCGGCCCGTTATTCAGCAGACGCGCAACACTGGGCATTGCGCGGCTGTGAGGCCGGGACCCGGTCGTAACCTCGGCCCTGAAGGAAACAGCAAATTTCTCTCTACAGTACTGGAGGGCCGCTGAGCTGAGGCCTTGGCCCGACTGAGCCTGGCAAGGTCAACAGGTCTCGGCGCCCCGAAAGCCAGGCATAGAACCCCCGTCCCGCACGTGCCCGAGCCGCACCCGGCTCGGTTTCCGGCAGGAGAATTCCCCGCGGGGAGCTCCCCGCCCTTCCCGGACAGGCTCCGCCCCTTCCCGGACCGGCCCCGCCTCTCCCTCCCCCGCCAGACCTCCCGTCACTCCGCCCTCTCTTCGTCACTGCGTCATTTCGGGGAAGCGCGGGCGTCGAGGGCGGGGCGGGAGAGGGGCCGGGTTACCGCCCGCCGTTCCCGCGCCCGCCGTCCCCGCCGTCCCCGCATTCGTTGTCCCTGCCCACAGCCCGAGACCTTCCGGATGACGCGCGCGCCACCCCCGCGCGACGTTGGGAACCGCCCCTTTCGGCACACCTCCCGAGCCTCGGGCCGCGCAGGAGACGCAGGCCTTGCCACGCGCGGGCCTGCACCGCCACCTGGTGGCCGCTGGCGCAAACTGCAGTCTATGGGCGGGTTCGGGGGTGGGCGGGGTCTCGCGGGCACGGTCTCAGCCCGCCGCCTGCACAGGGCCGCAGCGTGGGTCCGGGTCTGTCGCGTTCGTGGGCAGCCTGAGCCCCGGACTCGCTGCAGCTTAGGGCAGGGGCCTCTGGGTTTTGTTCTGACCCCGCTGTCGCTGCCTGCCTCCCAGCCCCAGGTGCAGGGCTCACCTCCTGGCGCTTGATGCGTCACGCAGATTTATGACCCGGGTCGCCCTCCAGTTGCTAAGGGCGTGCACCGGTGCCTAGGAAAAGCGCTGGGTGAGGCCAGGGGAAAAGGCCCGGAGGCGAGCCTTCTGGCCAGGGGACAGCCGCTCAAAGGCCCTGGGGCAGGAAGGGACTGTGAGCTCCTCTAGTGGAGGCTGTAAGAAATAAAAGGAAAAAGAAAAATTTACTTCAAGGACAGGCTTTATTTAAAATAAAGACCTGAGAGGGGCTGTAGGCTCCAAAGTGCCAAAAGCAGCACTCTTAGAGTAAGGTTTATAAGGCGCTAAAGGGAGTGAGGAAGTTAAGGCCGGCCAGTCTCTGCCTTGTTCATTTCTGTGGTCCCCACCCGATCTGGCTCACGTTTCTGCAGGCTTTCCTGTCCAAGAGGCTAAACGCCGCTTGACCTGGAATATTTTGTACAGTAAACAGATTTAGTGGGCTACGTAATTATGGTGCCCAGAATGTGGCTAAGGGTTGCCACTCAGGGAAATGTCCATGGACCTTTCCTTGAGGAGTCGAGGGTACCCAGACTGACTGGCCAGGGTGTGTGACTCCTGCACGCACAGCCGGCCAGGTGCTGAGCGTGTCTGCTCTCCCAGGTGAGGAGCCAACTGTCTGCAAAGCACCAAAGGATGCTCGGAGAAACCCACACACGATAGGAGCAGGGAGACACAGGCGCAGCACCAAGGCCCTACCCCAAGTCCCAGAGGGACCTCGATGGGGCAGAGCCGGTTATGTGCACAGTGGACCATGTCACAGCCAACAATAGCATTTCACACTCAGCAGAAATGGCCCTTTGTGAGGGCCTGACACATTCTCCCGAACATCATAGGTGTGTCCTGGTTCAGCTGGGGGCCTCAGCATGTCTGCTGTCCCTCAAGGCTGACCTCATACTATGCTACTGCATGACCTGTCCAGCAGAGCTGACCAGTGTGCCTGCTAAGGAGCCTGAAGCCAGGAGCCTGTCTCCAACGCAGGACAACTGTTTCCCTGGGGATCCAGCAATAGGACCTAAGGGGTTGATGGCAATAATTACAGGTGGCAGAAGACAGGCGCACCCCGAGTCAGAGGCATGGAAGCCACATCTAAATTTATGACCCAGGGGCACAGCCACCACCATGGGGATTTGGGATGAACTTGACTTGGACACAGCATATTGCTTTATTTGGCCCCACGCCTAGCATTTGCAGACAGGATGGTGTACATGGCTCAACCCAAGGGCTCTTTGGCATATGTCAAGAAAATTATCCCCAAGAGAAATTTAAAACAATCTGAACTAAATGAAAACACAACTGAGCAAAGTTGGTGGAATGCCATGGACACAGTACTGAGAAGGAAATCTATAGCATCAGATGCACACAGTGTAAGAGAAAAGACCTCAATTAGCAAGCTGGACACCCACCTTTAGAAACTACTGGAAAGTAGAGCAATGTAAGCATTAAAGCAAGCAAAAAAATAACAAAAACCAGGGCATAAATCAGTGAAACTGAAAACAAGAAATTAATAGAAAGGTAAACGAAACCAAAACCTTGTTCTTTGAAAAAATATTTCAATGACTTGATAAATCTCAAGGCTTACCACAAACAGAGAAAGCAGAAATTACTCGAGAGGAACCTTCCCCTGGCAAATTCTACCAAACACTTAAGGAAGAAATTATACCAACTCTCTATCATTTCTTCCAGAAAATAACAAATAGAACACTTTTTAATTCATTCTGGAACCAGTGTTGCCCTGATAAAAACCAGATAAAGACATAAGAAAAAGAGAAAACTACAGACCAGTATCTCTCATGAACAGAGATACAAAACTCCTCAAAAAAAATAGCAAATCAAATCTAGCAGTGTATAAGAAAAATTCCACATCACAGCCAAGCGGGGCTTATTCCAGGGATGCAAGTCTAGTTCAACAGTGGAGAGCTATTAATGTGATATCATCCCTCTCATCAACAGAGTAAGGAGGAAAAACCACATTAACTTATCAATTGATGCAGCAGAAACATTTGACAAACTCCAATACACCTGTTCATGACTAAAACTCTCAAAACCTACAAAGGGAAATTTCCTCAACTTGATAAAGATCCTTTAAAAATGCACAATTAATATCAGACAATGTCGGGAGCAGCTGAAGCTGAAAATTTGTCATATGTGTGAGGGCAGCACACAGCCAGAGTGCCTCAAGCTATCAAGCTATCTCAGTCTTGAGAAAAGCATCCTGCCTGGACACTTCAATCGTTAGTCAATAGGCAACCTTGCCACTCGTGATACTAACTTTGCAAGAGTATAAATAAATGCCCCTACTCCTGTTGTTCAGGTCCTCTTACCTAGATAAGAGGTCACCTCCACCTGACCCAGCTCTTGTCTCTTGTCTGTCTTTTCCTCTTACTCCCCAGGTACACCAAGATACTGATGAGTTCCCAACAAGACAGTGGAGAGACTAGATGTTTTTCCCTGCAATCAGGAGCAAGACAAGGGCACTTCGTCTCCCCACTCCTATTCAGTATTGTACTAGAAATCCAGGCTAAAGACAAGAAGAGTAAATAAAATATGTACAACTGGAAAGAAAAAAATAGAATTGTTTTGTTTGTAGATGACATGACTGTATAGGAAACCCAAAAAAAATAACAATAAAAGTCCTGGAACTAATAAAGAATTATAGCAACAATGCAGCACACAGGATTAATATATATGTACAATAGTCACTTGCTTCCTGCATACTAGCAACAGACAAGGGGAATTTGACATTTAAAACACAATACCACTTACATTAGCACCACAAGAAATAAAATACTTAGATACAAACCTACAAATACGTGTAGGGTCTACAGGAACACAACTACAAACCTCTGATGACAGAAATCAAAGTTATAAATAAGTGGAGAGGTAGACCATGTTTATTAGTGGGAACACATCAGTTCTCCCCAACTGGATCTGTAGATTCAATATAATCCCAGTCAAAATCCCAGTGAATTACTTGTGGGTAATGACAAGCTGATTCCCAAGTGTGTGTGAGAAGTCAAACACTCAAAATAGCCAACACCGCTCTGCCAGAAGAGCAGAGCTGGAGTACTTGTACACAGGCCCCACTACAGCCACACACCCAGGGGAGCTTGGCCCTGGCAGAGGAACAGACCAGCCAACTGGCAACAGGAGCAAGAGCCCAGGACAGAACCGTGCAAGCACTACCAACCACCTTTGACAAAGGAGTGCAGGCAGGGTCACGGAGAAAGACTGTCTTTTGAAAACATTGTGCTTTAACAATTGGATCTGTCTGGCTTGTGTTGGATGCCCCCCGCCACAAGCCTCATGCAGTCATAGGTGGTGCTTTTTCAGAGGTGGCTGGATCTAGAGTGTGATTGATCCATGGCACAGTGCTGGGCTTAAGAGTGTGTGATTACTAAATTGGTCCGCTGAGTGGCTTAGCACCTCCCTTATCCCAGCAGTCTACATAAAAGGTAAAAGGGGCAGAAAGATTCTGTTAAGCTCTTGTTGTTTTTGCTACCTTGTGGGCACCGTGAACTGTTTCTCCTCTGTGATGCCCCCCTGCGTTGGAGCCAGCCAACTACAGAGCCTCTGTAGACCATGAGGTAAATAAACTTTTCCCCCTTTAACTTGGGGTGTGGGATACTTTGCCTCAGCAATAAGAAAAGTAACTAAGACAACATCCATAAACGTTAATCTAAGCATCAACTTTATGCCATCCACAAAAAGTAACTCAAAAATTGACCATAGGGGACCAGGGATATAGCTCAGTGGCACAAGTGCCTACCTGGCAAATGCAAGGTCCTAAGTTCAACTCCTGGTACCAAAAAAAAAAAAAAAAAGAAAAGAAAACAAAGAAAAATTGACCATAGATCTAAATGTAAAAATGCAAAACTATAAACTTCTAGAACATGATATCAGAGAGATCTAGGTAAGTTTGGACTTGGTGTTGATTGATTTTTGTGGCACTGGGGATCAATCCCAGGGCCTGGTACATGCTAAGCACACACTATCACTGAAATGCACCCTCAGCTCTGGCAGTAATTTTTTAACATGAAATGTGATAAACACAGTCTATGAAAGAAAAAGTCAATAAGTTGGACTTTACTAAAATTTTAAAATTCTGTTTTAAGGGCCAGGGACATAGCTCAGTGGTGTAGCACCTGCCTGGCAAGTGCAAGGTCCTGAGTTCAATTCCCAGTACTAAAAAATAAAATAAAAATTCACTTTTGTGATGCACACTATTAAGGCAATGAAAAAATAAGCCACAAACTGGGAAAAAATATTTACAGAACACATATTCTCATACAAGAGAGTTTTTATGTTTTTTTTTTGTTTGTTTGGTTTGGTTTGGTTTGGTTTAGTTTGGTTTGGTCTGGTTTGGTTTGCTTTGGTTTGATTTGGTTTTTCGGGACAGTGCATCACTATGTAGCCCCAGCTGGCCTCAAACCTGTGGCAATCCTTCTGCCTTAGCCTGCCAAGTGCTGGGATTACAGGTGTGCACCACCACACCCAGTTGACACAGGATTATATCCAGAATATACAAACCCTTAAATCTCAACAATAAATGAACTATCTGCCTGTAATCTCAGTACTCTGGGAGGCTGAGGCAAGAGTATTCCAAGTTTGAGCCTAGTCTGGGCAACTTAGTGACTCAGTGAGATCTTGTCTCAAAAAATTAAAGAAGGTCTGGGGATGCAACTCAGTGCAAAGGTCCTGGGTTCAATCCCTAATACAGCAAAGCAAGCAAGCAAGAAAAAAAAACCCTAAATTTAATATGAGCTAAAGAGTTAAACAGACACCTCCCAGACAAGTCATACAGATGGCACATATGAGTGTATGAAAATCTGCCCACATCATGCACCGTGAGGAAACTGCAAATTGAAACAAGAAGACACCAATATGCATCTACAAAAATGGCTATAATGCAAAAACTGACAGTTTAGGGTGTACAGGATCCCAGGAGAGAATGCAGCGTGTGACAAGAGAATGACACAGGCTGACCTGAGCTGAGTGACTTCAGAAATGAGTGGCACCTGAGGTTAAAGGCGAAGGGAGCCACAAGAGCTCTGTGCTGTGGTTGGTGCAGGTGCCTGCCTCGAGGGGCTGAAGGAGGACGTAGTAAGTGGACAGCAGTGACGGGCCAGACCCTCACTGTGGAGGGTAAGTTTGCAGATGGAGGCAGGAGGGCAGGTACACACACAGGCTAAGGACAAGCACTAGGGCATCAAGAACTGGTGTTTCACATACATGGGACCCCAGGGGCTGCACGTGCACAAGCATGTGCACACACATGCATATCTGTGTGCTTCCTGCTGAGCAGGCATGAAGGAGTCACCAACCCAGAGGCAGTGAGCCTTCCTAGACCCAGAGTGTGGCTTCTAATCCATTCTCCACTCCCAGGAGAGCCTCTAACTCCAGGACTGGGCGAGGAAATGTACAAAAAGTGCCTTCAGCATCTTGCATTGACAGAAAGTAAGGAAGTGCTTGGGAAAACAAAACTAGAGCAACTAGGGAGCTCCCAACAGCCAAAGCTGCAACATTCGAGCAACAATATAAATAAAGTAGCAATGCATTACAACCCAAAGTGTACTGTAAATATCCAGGAGCCCATAGTGATATAAATAAATTATTAAATAAATTGATAAATAAGGGAAAAGGGTCAAATGCTCATGTGAAATTCCAAGTGCCTTCTATAGACTCTGCGCCCTGGGAGGAGGAGCCTAGGTCCCCACCTCACACGTGACTGCGCACACCATGCCGACCCCTTGCAGTGAGTGAGTGAGGCAGGGGAGCCGCAGTGGAGACATGGAGATGCTCAGCCAGGTGCTCACGGTCAGCATCAAGAGTCACAGCCCTGTGGACAGTGGGGACCTTGAAGGATGTGACAGAGGGTGTGCTGCCCTGGGGGTTTCCTCCCCACGCCTGTGGCCCCATGCCCATGGGAAAACAGCAGACAAATGTGGACAGAGGGAAATCCTGCAGTGCAGCTACCCAGGTCCTCAGAGACCAGGAGAGTCGGAGCCTCCGCCCCAGCCAGGAGGAGCTGCAGAGACCGAGGACTGAAAGTTATCGGGCCCTGGATGGGAATCTGGGCCGAAAAGGGGAAAGCTGAGGAAATATGAAACATGGGCTTTATTTGATTAAAAACAGTGTATCAATATTGTTCCTTAACTCTAACAAATATACCATCTGAAGGCAGGATGTTAGTAACAGCAAGTGCGATACTGGGACACATGGGAACCTCTGTTATCTGCTCGGTATCTCTGTAAATTTAAAGCTATTCTTAAAAGCTAAGTATCTCCCTCTTTTAAACTGCTAAATGTGCTATATTTTGTACTTGCTCACCTCCTGGACTGGGCCCTTTGGACCTACCTCAGCCCCAACCTTTCCCCACCAGGGCTGTGAGAATGACTGACGGCAGCTCAGAACAGCTGCATGAAAATGGGGCCTAGAAGGACCTGCACTGCAAGACCAAGGAGCGTCTCGTTCAGGGGCAGGGGCACCATAGCGGGCAGTGCACAAAGGAAAGAAGCACACCAGAGTGGCTTGACCCATAGACACCTATGTGTGGGAGACCAGGTGAGGACAGCTGAGGCCTCACTGACCCCCTCTGCAAGCACAAAGGGGGAAAACGGCAAGCTGTGCTCCTTTGGCACCAGGCAGGGAAGATGGTGCTTTGCAGGTTCTAGGAAAAATGAACACAGCTGAGATCTGGTGGTTTACCTGGACATGTACTAATAGGTAATAGAAGGCAGATAATCCCGTGCTACTCTAATCGCTTATACCCATGTCTAAGTGAATAAGGGCAAGACAATTCAGATACCTGGGGCCTTCTGCCACTACTGCGGCTACATCCTGATGTGGCTCCAATGCTCAGCAGTCAGCATGGCCTGGTGCTGGCATCTCTGCACCCTTGGCAAAACAGTCAGCATGGTCAGCACCACACACTCACCCCTGACTCCAGGACCTCAGTGCTCCAGCCAAGAAGTTGCATCTAGTCCACCAGGACCAAGGTCCTGGACTCTTCCTCAGGACATGGACTTGTGTACCACACTGCAGTCACGTGGACTTAGTGGGCAGAAGAGCACATTCCCTTAACACTTAGAAAGACACACATGTGCCATGAGTGGAAGAAATGTTCCACAGAAAACCAGACCTGGTGGCACACACCTGTCCTGCTCCTCCTCTGTGTACAGAGTCCCTCTCCTCCTCCTCATCCTCCTCTTCCTCCTGCTCCTCCTCCATGGGCAGGCCCCTCTCCTCCCTGCTGGAGTTTGTGCAAAGCCCACAATGTTCTCTCTGGCTATGAGTTGCAGAATCTATTTTCTCCCGACTAATATGTGCACAGAACCCTCTTTCCTCTCCACCTGTGTGTTGGAATCTTTTCTCTTTCCTGGTCATATTTGCTCAGAGCCCTCTCCACTTCTTCAGGTCTTGTGTGCACAGAGTTCCCTCTTTCTGCTCCACCCTCTCCTGCATACACACAGTCTTCTCTACCTCGCTGTGTTTCTGTATGCCAATTCCTCTCAGTGTACAGAGTGTGACAAATCTATGTCATCAATCCTGACTAACAGCCCCTCACATGCAGGCCCTATGGACAGGACTGACCTGCACGGATGCTGCCAGACCCTTCCCCGGGACTCCTGCTCTTGGGAGGGAGCAGTTTGCTCATACACTAAGAGCTGCTGCTGGAAGGAAGGCCAGGCATTGATATGAAAATTGCCTGCTTGATTTTATGTCCTCACAACATGGACTCGACTTGCCAGGCCAGATCCAGGTACAGGATTTCCACACATGGGTGCCAAAAGCAGGAACCCCAAGACCCCATCCCATCCAGAGTAGTGCTTTGCTCTTACCAAGACTGGCACCTATCTAGTAGGCAGACGGAGCTTCCAAGCCACATTCTGACAAAGGAACACCCACTGTTGTGGAACACCACACACCATGCCACTCCACTACAGAGAATTTCACCCTCATAGTCTCCCAAACAGGACACTGTTCCACACTGACAGTCTTCCACATACCACGGTGTCACAACTCCATGGTTTTCCACATAGCACAGTGTCCCAGCCTCATTTCTTCCAAACAGCAAGGAGTTCCATCTTCATAGTCTTCCACACAGCCAGGTGTCCCACCCTCATGAGCTTCCACACAGCATACTGCTCCACCCTACAATATTCCACGCAGTACATTCTATCATCTTATCAAGGTGTTCCACCCTCACAGTCTTCCACACAGCAGTTTCCCACCCCTACAGTCTTCCAAACAGCATTGTCTTTGACACAGCGAGGAGTTTCACCCTCATGGCTTTCCACAAGACAGTGTTCAACCCTCGCAGTCTTTCACACGGCAAGGTGTTGTTCCACCCTCACTATCTTTGACACATCAAGGTGTTCTACCCTGAAGCTATTAGGAACAGCAAGAAGTTCCACCATCATAGTCTTCTGCACCAGAAGGGGTTCTATCCTCATGGTCTACCACACAGCAGTGGCTCTACATTCATGATCTTCCATACAACACAGATTTCCACACAGCAAGGTGTTCCACCCTCACAGTGTTCCATACAGCAAGATTTCCCACCCTCACAGTCTTCTATTCAGTATGCTATTCTACCCTCATGGTCTCCCACACAGCACAATCTTCCACCCTCTCAGTTTTCTACACAGCACAATTATCCACACTGCAAGGTGTACCACATCCATGGTCTTCCATAAAGCACACAGCAAGTCATTCCACACAGCACAGTTTTATCCTCAAGATCTTCTAAATAGCAAATAACTCCAGCCAGCAAGGTGCTCCATTTGCACTGTCTTCCACAATAAGGTATTCCACCCTCTTTCCACACAGCATGGTTTTCCACACAGCAATCTCTTCCACACTTACCATCTTCCCCACAGAATGGTGTTTAGCACTCATGGTGCTCCACACAGCATAGTCTTCCACACAGCACACTATTCCCCTGACAGTCTTTCACACAGCAAGGTGTTCTACCCTCACAGTCTTCAGTATAGTAAGAGGTACCTCCTGCAGGGTCTTCCACAGAACATGTTATTCTACACTCATCATCTTCTACACAGAACAGTCTTCTTCACTTACAGTGTTCTACACAGCATATTCTTCCACACCAAAAGGTGTTCCACCCTTACAGTGTTCCACAAATCAAAGTGTCCCACCCACAAATTCAAACACAGTAAGGAGTAATACAGTAAGGAATTCCTCCCTCAAGGTCTTCCATATAGCATGTTATTCCATCCTCACAGTCTTCCTCAAAGCAAAGTGTTCAGCCCTCACAACCCTCCACACAGAACACTGTTCCATCATTTTCCACATAGTATAGTCTTCCAACCTCATGGTTTTCCATGTTCTACACAGCACCCTCATGGTCTTTTAAACAGGAAGTGTTACACCTTCACTGACTTCACACAACAAAGTGTCCCACCCTCAATGTCTTTCACACAACCTGGTCATCCACCTTCATGGTCTTCCACATAGCAAGGTGTTCCACCCTAATGGTCTTTCACAACAATGCCTTCCACCCCCAATGCCTTTCATACAGCAAGAAATTCTGCACACATGATCTTCCACACAGCCAAGTATCCTATGATCACAGTCTTCCAAATAGCAACACACCTACACTCACTATCTTCCACATAGAACCATCTCCTACCTTCACAGTCTTCTACATAGCAAGTCTTTCCAAGCAGCATGGTATTCAACTCTTTTGATCTACATACACAAGCTTCCACACATCCAAGTATTCCACCCCCATGGTCCTCCACACAGCATGATCTTCCACAGTGCAAGATGTTCTACCATCACAGTCTTCCACAGTGAATAGTTTTCCACATAGCAAGTATTCCACCTTCACAGCTTTTCACATACAAGTGCTCCACCCTATCTTTCACACACCAATGTGTCCCACCCTCCCAGTGTTCCATACAGCAAGATTCTTCACTCTCACAGACTTCCACACAGCATGATCTTCCACACAGCATGATCTTCCACACACAAGGTCTTCCACATAACACACAGTACAACTCTCTTGATTTTCCATACAGCATTGTCTTCCACTCTCATGGTCTTCCACACATCAAGTGTTCCACCCTCACAGTCCTCTACAAACAGCATACAGCAAGGTTTTCCACCGGTGGGGTCTGCCACACAGCACAGATTTCTACCCTGACAGTCCTTGTTACGGTTGATACATTGTATCAACTTGAGAAATCTAGAAGCTTAACTAAGTAACTAAGCAACTAAGCAGTTCTGCAGCCCTACCTGCTTTAGGCTGTTGTTCATTGTATCAACCTGAAAAGTCTAGAAGTTTAACTAAGTAACTCAGCAGGGGGTCAGGGTTTTCAGTTTGTAAACATCCTCATTCTGGGCAAGACAGAGCAGGGAGAGGTGTGAGTACTACACCTACCCTGGGCGGAGGGTAGCCCTCTTACGATAAAAGGGAGGAAAAGAGGCAGCATTTGCTGTCTTCTGCCGCCTTAAACGTTGCCCCTCACCATGCCATCCTGCCTTGGAGCCAGCTGATTAAGACTGAAACCTCAACAAACTGTGAGTAAAACAAACCTTTCCTTTCTTAATTTTGGGCATCTGGTATTTTGTCTCAACAACTAGAAAAATACCAAAGACAGTCCTCCACAAACCAAGGTGTTCCCACTTCACAGTCTTGTGTACAAGTCACTCCAGACAGCATGGGGTCCCACTCTCGCTCACTTCCATTTGTTCACTTTTTACTTATCAATTGGAAAGTATACAAATATTTTTAAAATATATGGTAAACATAGAAACAGATTAAATAGAAAATTATTCAGATACACTAGTCTAGCATTAACTCAACCAAACATGCTAACACTCTCTTAATTTGACACTATTTGATTTGTACTTCAAAGTAAACAAGGATTACAGTGATCACATGATGAGATAAAAGGCAGTTCTATAACAAGAATGAATAGAGTTCTTTTGTTTTGTTTTGTTTTTGTTTTTCTTCCGGTACCAGGAATCAAACTCATGACCTTGCACTTGCCAGGCAGGCACTTTTGCCACTGAGCTAAATCCCCAGCCCCTAGAGTTCTTAATACGTAGTTCACTAAACAAAACTTGCAACTACATAAGGCAAAAATATGAAACTGAAGAGAAAATCATAGATTCACAAATATTACTGAAAATTTCAAAACATCTCCCTCAATAATTGACACCTAAGAAAGATAGAAAAATCTGCAATGGAATAGTTAAAATCAGCAACATCATGCCTCAAGTCTCACTCACTTTTACATAGCTAGGTGTTTCACCCTCATGGTCTACCATACAGCAGGTGTTCTACCCTCACCATCTCCCACACAGCGAGGTGTTCCACCCTCCTGAATACACACAGCACATTCTTCCACAGAGCAAGATATTCTGCCTCATAGTCTTTCACAAGGTGTTTCCACCATCACGGTCTTAACCCAGTTTAAAGTACCTCACCCTCATGGTCTTTCACACAGCGGTCTTCCACATAGCAATTCGTTCCACTCTCTCTCCATCCTCCATGCAGTAGATGTTCTACCCTCACCATCTTCCACATAGAAAGGTTTACCAACCTCACTGTCTTAAACACAGGATGGTGTTTCATCCGCAGCAATGTCTTCCACTCTCCTGTCTTCCACATTGCACAGTCTACTACACTCACAGTCTCCCACACAGCACATTCATCCAACTGCACGGTCTTACACACAGCCAGGTGTACACTCTGTCTTCCAAACAGCACGGTCTTACACACAGCCAGGTGTACACTCTGTCTTCCAAACAGCAAAGTTTTATACACAGCTTGGTCTTCTACACAGCAAGGTCCTCCACCATCACAGTCTTGCACACAAGGTGTACCCCCATCATGGTTCTCCACACAGAACAGTCCTCCACACAGCATGGTATTCAGCCCTCACCTCCTTTACAAGCACGTGTTTCAACCTCATGATCTGCCACATGGCAATGTCTTTCACCCTCGTGGTCTTCCACATAGCAAGGGGTTTCACAACCCCGATAATCCACACAGCATGGGCTTCTACTCTCACGGTCTTCCACACAACACGGTATTTAGCTCTCACTGTCTTACACACACACCATATTCCACCCTTATGGGCTTCCACAAATTACAGTCTTCCACCCAGCATATCTTACATATAACATGGTGTTCCACCCTCACAGTCTTTCACTCAGCAAGGTCTTTCATCCTCACTTTCTTTCACACAGCATATTGTTCTACCCTCATGGACTTTTTTGTTTGTTTTTGGTTTGCATTTGTTTTATTTTTTAGACAAGGTCTCACTATGTAGCCCAGGCTGGCCTCAAACTCACAGCAATCTTCCTGTCTCAGCCTCCTGAGTGTTGGGACGACAGGTATGCACCACCATGCCTGGCCCACACTCATAGTCTTCCACACAGCACACTGTTCCACCCCTTGGTCTCCCACACAGCAAAGTGTTTCACCCTCACCGGCTTCTACACAGCAGTCTCCCACTCCCACCCTCCCAGTATTATTCCCCACTGTACAGCTGTCCAAGGAGTTCACTGTCTCACCCATGTCCCAGATCAGCCATTGAACACTGCTTTGGCTCTATCTATGTGGCAAGACTGTGGGGCTGGGTATATGCCCCAAATGTGGCAAGTGGTCTTAATCAGTGTTGAATCTATGGCTTTCCCAAGGCCAGGATTCCCAGATCCAGGGATCATGCAGCAGAAACGGCAATGTTTTTCCTTGAATGTCCCTATCCCTAACAATCTGCTAGTGAATTTTTGCTTCCTATTCCTATAACCCTGTACTCCTGTTCCAGAGGTTCTAAACTCTGAGACACCAACTCATCTTGGTTTCCCAGGAAATTTTCCATGCTTAAAGCTAAAAGTCGTATGTCCTGTAACCCGGGCAGTCCTCTGCAAACCCTAGAGTATTCCACTTGGGGACACAGTACATGGGTGATGAGACCCAGCCATTGGCTCTCACACCAGGGACACGACAGAGGTGCCTTGCTGCCAAGGTGCTTATTCCTGTCTGGGGGACTCAGGCTTCATTACAGAACGGATTGAGGCAGCAATGTTCAAAAGGAGGGTCCCTAGGGGGTCTCCCTGCACCCCTAAATCCTGCAAGAAATGGCTACAGAAAACCAGACCATCCCACAGACAAACCTGCTGCAGCAAAGACCACCTCTAGAATGAAGGCTGGGGTTACCCCACTAGTAAAGAACTGCAGTGGTGTCACTGCAGTGCTGGCTGAGGGCTGAGAAACAGTGTGGCTCTCTTTGTGGAAGAGAGCAGTGGTAAACGCAGCTTCAGCCTTGTGACTTCTTGACAATGAGTGCCTCTTGCTGACCCTCCTGTGCTACCCAATTCTTTTTCTTCCTTTTCCCCTCTCCCATTCCCCTCCCACCTAACATAAAATGTCCTCCCAATAGCTAGTGTGCATCTCTGTGTTTGTGTTGACTCCCAAACATTCTCAAGGAGAAAGACTCAACTACAAGAGTACGACCCAAAGGTGGGTAAAAGTGACTGGAGACTGGCTTCTAGAGAGACACCTGGTGTTGGTTGGGAGAGTTGCATCATGTTAGGAAAAGCCTGGTTTTGCTTTTTAATTAAATGTGGTGTAAACGCAAGCATGCGGGAGAGTTGCCAGGAAGCAACCCATGCGGTTGTTCTGTTGTCCGCACAGCCAGGCAGGGACACTTCCATCTATGGTGGGAGCCGGACAGACCTGGTAATCATCACTCCAAAAGGCCATCCCAGCCTACTGTGGCAGCAGGCAGAACAAGGGTGCCAACCAGCCAATCCCCCGCCTCCAGCCCTTTGTCCCACCTGCCAGTTTCCAGATGAACACAGAAAATCCCCTGGCCAGTAACCCTTGAAGGCCACAGGGTCCAGAACACTTCTCTCCCAGCACCTGCTTCTTTCCAACATTTGCTTCTGTTTGCAGTCCAATCAGACATCACCCCAGGAGGAGCAGCCATTCTATACCACCATCCCATCTCCTTCTCTCCACCCATGATGACTATGGGTTCATTTGTCTGTCTCTCCCCATGCAAACCTGAACTCCATGAAAGAAAGGACCTCACGTGCCCTGCCCACTGCTGTGCCCTCCTGGCTGCAGCCCATGAAAATCTAGGTAACATCTCAGCCAAACACTGTGACGTCAGGGAAGGCATCAGGGTCCCCACAGAGGCACATAAGTAACAACATACATTTTACGAACATGAAGACAACCTAACTGTGGAAAGTAGATGGGTGGGGCTAAAGACAGCAGGTGACGGGTGGGAAAAGTCTGAAGGTCAGAGCACAGCAGAATGTGGCCAACTTTGTGCTTGAAGTGAGGACAGTGGGATGGTGCGGCAGTGTCAGAATAAGGAGCCTCTCAGCTGGAAGTAGTGGCAGACGCCTGTAATCCCAGTACTTTGGAGGCTGAGGCAGGAGGATCATTGTGAGTTTGAGACTAGTGTGGGCTACAAAGTGAGCTCAAGGCCAGTCTGAACTTTTGTCTCAAAAAGACAAAAAAAGAAGGAAGAAGGAGGGGGGAGGGGCACGGGCAGGGGGAGGAGGGAGAGGGAGGAAGGAGGGGTGGGGGAGGAGGAGAAGGAGAAGAAGCCTCTCAGAAATCTCAGCACCAGGTGGGGCCGTGTCTCCTCGCCCCCAAAGGGGGCCACCTGTGACAGCCTAGGACAGACATTGCATCACCCTTCCCCAGGGCCAAGACCACCCTGCTGTCCCCACCACGGTACACGGACTCCGGAGTGTGGAGCCTACAGGTAACCGGGGCCCAGTGCCCCACAAGGGCCCCACATCCCTGTCCTCCCACCAGGGGTCAAGACACCATGGAGGGAACCCGGGCCCTGTGTTCCACCCGTGTCAGCACCTGTGGAAGAGCTAAACTTCGAGGTGGGGCAGTCACAGGCATGGAGGCAGGCGGGAGGGCAGCAGGCTGGCAGCTGGCCAGGGGGTGAAGAGGGCAGCACTGTGGCCAGCTGAGAGCGAGCCATGTCCGCATCTCGGTCGGCAAGTCACAGCAGGCGAGGGAAGCTGTGCCCTCCTGCCCACCGTCCACCTCAGGGCCTGCCCTTTGGCCCAGGCCCCGTGCCAGAGCCCTCTGCTAACCCCACCGCCCGACCCTGGCCTTCCTGGGGCGTCCTCAGACCGGCTTGCACGGAGTCCCCCGTCCACCCTCCACCCTCTAGCCCTACCTGCCCCCAAGCGCACACACCCTCCTTTGCCCTATTCTTTCCGGCCTCGGGCATTCAGGTTTCCCGAGACCCCAGGCCAGGGTCTCGGCCTTCCCGCACCCCGTCCTCGCGAGGCTCCCGGCCCGGCCCGGCCCGGCCCGGCCGTCGTCACCGCCCCCGGTTCCCCGACCCCCATCCCAGAGTCCCAGCGGCCCAGGTGGATGCC